TCCTCCACAACTAGATTGAAGAACAAAACGACAGCAACTTGTCTGTTCCCCAATTCCCCAGCACTGTTCCCATCCCCCCAATTCCCCAATAAAAATCTTAAAAAAAAAAAAACAGGCAGTGGGCTAATTTTGGCCTGTGGCCATAGTTTGCTGACACTTGCTTTATCTAATGGCTACACTGACACTGCTATAAGAGTGTTTGAGGAATGATCATGACTAGAACCAAGCTGTTCTGGCAAAACTATGGTATTAGAAGCCAGAACAGTGATTGCTCCTTGTGGGGTCAGAAGTGGTTGTGGGAAGTATTGTAATTGGGATGGAACATGGGGAAGCTTCCGGATTATTGGTAATATTCTGTTTCTCAATGTGGGTATTGGGAAATTCATTGAGCTTTGTGAGAATTAACACTTTGTAAGCGGGCATTTTCCTGCCAAATCGCGTCGTAACAAAGAGGTCTCTATACCTGAGTTAAAGCGCTATGACGAGTTTACTCGTTTCCCACAAACAATGTGTTAATTTATGAGTTGTATAAATTTCTGTGTGCATTTGGTACTTCAATAAACTATTTTTTAAAGACAGAAAAAACAACCAAGCTGTTTTAAAGAAGAAATGATTTAAAAATATATATTAATTAGATAGAAAATCCTATTTATAGAGTATACGTGTTCAGCGAAGTGTCTGTGGGTTCCCAGTAATATAGTGAGGACACAGGCCAAATTTTTTGTGTGCTATTTTTTAAAATTGTGGTAAAAAAACATATAATATAAACTGTACCATCTTAATAATTTTTGAGTGTACAGTCTAATAATGTTATGTATATTCACATTGTTGTGAAACAGATGTCTAAAACTTTTTCATCTTGCAAATCTGAAACTCTAGACCCATTAAACAACAGCTCTGTGTTTCCCTGTCCCCCAGGCCCTGGTAACCGCTATTCTATTTTCTGCTTCTATGAATTTGACTACTTTAGATACATCATATAAGTGGAAACATACAGCATTTGCCTTTCTGTGGCTGTCTTATTTCACTTAATGTAATGTCCTCAAATTTTATTCAGATTATAGCATGTGATAGGGTTTCCTTTCTTTTTAAGGCCAAAAAATATTCCATTATATGTAAATACCACATTTTGTTTATCCATTTATCTGTTGATAGATATTTGGGGTGCTTCCACTTTTTGTCTATTGTGAATAGTGTTGCTATGAACATGGGTATGCAAATATCTCTTCAAGGCCCTACTTTCAATATTTTTTTTTGCTATATGTGCAGAGGTGAGGTTGCTAGATCATATGTTTCATCTTTAGTTTTTTTAAGCAGCTTTCATGCTGTTTTCCATAGAGATTACACCATTTTACAATTCCACCAACATTGCATATGGGTTCCCATTTCTCTACTTCCTCACCAACAATTTTCTGTTTTTGTGATAGTAGCATAGTCCTATTTTTTAGAAGCCATTTTTGAAGGTTAGCAAGGCTTTACCTAAATTAAACCCTAAATATTGATGGCCTCCATAAAAAGTACCTTAAATTCTTATTAAAACTTTATGTTTATCCTAAAAGACCAGCAACATTTTGATTTGACTTTACCTTATTTGCTCAAAGTTTTTAAATTTGCTGGACATTCCTAACAAGTGAAATGCACAACAGCATACTAAAAGACGCATAACAAGAGGAATTTTTTTTTTTTTTAAGATTTTATTGGGGAATTGGGGGAGGGAACAGCACAGCGTTGGATAATCAGGGAAGGGAAACAGACAAGTTGCTGTCCTTTTGTTCTTCAGTCTAGTTGTGGAGGACCTTGGTTCACTGGCCCATGTTGGTATTGTGATCATTGCGCTCTTCCGGCTTAGGCAGATCGGTCACCGGCCATTGGATGGCTGCTCACGGCAGCTCACGCTGGCTGCCAGCTGATCACGCTGGCTGCCGGCCACACACGGTAGCTTATGGCAGCCCACTGCAGCCTACACCGTCATTAGTGACCCATGGCAGCTCAGCTCCAGGTTGAGCTGTTGTTCACCATCTTAGCTGTAGAGGGTGCAGCATCACTGACCCTCATGAGGGATCCGATCTGGGGCCCTGCTGCTCAGAGCTCGCGCTCCCAAGCCAACTCAACCAACGTGCCACTCAGCCAGCCGGCAAGAGGAAAATTTTACAGTTATGGTTTCATATCTTGTTTGAAATGTCACCCATGTGTGTATCTTCCAGAAAAGGCAACAATATGACTAACAAAAGGGCAACTACAAGGCAAATACATCATTTATTGCTTTAAACTTAGTCCCCCTATATCGGAAAAATTGGGAATTCTCCCAAATGGAACAAGTAGATTGGTATAGATAGAAGCTAAGAATTCTCCAAAGTAATGGCACAACCAAGAGGAAGAGACTAAGGAGTGAATGAATCAGTGGACATCAAACAAAAAAGCCAGGCTCCAGGACTACAACCCTGTGTTGCCTACCCTGCTCTTCCAGAAGGACTCGCACAGCTGAGTTTTCCTCTACTTTTTTTCTGGCTGCTGCTTCTTCTTCTTTTGACCATTGCATGTGATCCCTATCAAAAGAAATAAAGAAAAACTGTTGTAAAACATGCTTTATAATTGAAGAAGGCAGAAAAAGGGCAGCAGGGATGTATCTGTCTTTCACACTGTGGATTGGTCAAAGACAAATGATATAAACTAATTCCATGTGGACTGAATATATTTTTTGTCAGATGTTCCTTCTGATAGTGCTGGTACGACCCTGGAACTCCTATGTTTCCTTTGTTTAAAAGCTGGTTGTGTTGCAAGATCCAGCCACCTTTTGGAAATGACTGCTGAAGTAATATCCCAGGAGCACTATGATGATGCATGATTTTTTGGGGGTGCTGGTATGGCTTACTGTATTTTACTCTATGGCTAAATTCATTTGCCTTTTTGTTAATTCATGAAAAGGGCATTCTTTACTAGTTTTTAAATTCTCCTTTTATAATACTTGTATGTTAATACTTTGTTGTCAAAGAGATATGTTTTAAAATATTTTGTACTTCTCTTCAGTTTTTAAAGTAACTTTAGACTTTTCTTATTAGCTGCCTTAATTTCTATAAATGGGTTCATTCTTGAGGTGCATCATTATGGTGATTGATAAATATTAACTGGGACATGTATGAAGCTGGGAATATGGACAGTTTATATGGAAATAATAAAAAAATCCATTTTGATTGGTTCTCTTGGGTGCTGGCAGATGAAGTTAGGAACTGGATTATTGTCAGATTTCAGATGATCTCAAATGTGAACAGTTTAGTAATATGCAAGACACAATAAAGCGGGGAGGAGACTGGGGGAAGGGAAACCAATTAGAAGGCTGTTTCAATGATCTAGGACTAATGAGTCCCAGGCCTAAGGTGGTGGCAATGGAAAACAGAAAGGAAGCGTGGAAGGAGAAACACTGAAAAAAACTGCTATGTCCTGGAAACTTACAGCTACAATAGATGTTGCAGGAAGTAGACAGTCAGGAATGATTTCAAGGTCTTAAAACTGAGTAACAAGAAAACTGGAGGTAACAATGACAGAAAAACGAGTTGGTTTGGGTGGAATGAGATAAGCTCAGAACTATTTTAAATCCTGTTAATGCAATCAGATATGAAAGTGTGTATTGCAGTGAACTGCTTATGAATATATACCACTGAAAGGTAAGAAACTGCTTCCTTTTAAGAATTAAAACTGGCATACTGAAGTCCCCAGAAAAAGCAAGTGATAACGTAAAAATCAGGGCTGGCCGAGTGGTGCGTTGGTTAAGAGCTGGCTTGGGACGCCAGAGGGCCCCGGTTCGGATCCCACATATGAGGGCCAGTGACACTGCCCTCTACAGCTAAGATGGTGAACAACAGCTCAACCTGGAGCTGGGCTGCCCTGAGTCAGCTGTGACAGTGTAGGCTGCAGCCCCTGCTGCAGTGTGTTGCCATGGGCTACTGTGTGTGGCCAGCAGCCTCTGTGAGCGGCCGTCCAGAATCTGGCGACTGATCTGCCTCGCCCGGGAAGAGCACAATGATGGTGCCAACTTGGGCCAGTGAAGCAACGTCCTCCACAACTAGACTGAAGAAAAAAAAGAAGCAACTTGTCTGTTCCCCTTCCCCCAATTCCCCAGCACTGTTCCCATCCACCAATTCCCCAATAAAAATCTTTACAAAGAAAAAAAAAAAGAAAACTGGCATACTGAAGTCCCCAGAAAAAGCAAGTGATAATGTAAAAATCAGAGTTTCACAGATGAAAATTTAACCATTATTTCAATTAAAACCTAATCATTTACAACCCAAATAATCACTAGGCAGCTTTGTCACTTGCTTTAATGAATAAGATTAGAATAGATTTTGGTTTTGACTTATTTTAATATATGTGAGCAATTACATATATAACTTGGAGATGGCTACTATACTTTATATTCTGTACATATAAATATATTCAGAGGGTGCCAAAAAAATGTGTATACATTTTAAGAAAGGAAAAGACTATTAAAATTGTAATACTCCATGTATACCAATAACAAAAGATGAAAACAAGTCACTTCTGACTTCTGCAATTACAAGAGGTGCTCAAAGTGGTTCCCATCAGCGTCCAGACACTTCTGATTATGGGGAACTACTGCTTGAGTAAAGTTGACCAAAGTGTCCACCTGTATACATTTTTTTGGCACCCCCAGTATATAGTATTATTAAAGGCAACAAATCATTTATTGAAAACATAGTATTATTAAGGCTGGGATAAGTTTCTCACCTGTAAATTTCTACAACATATAAGAAAGAAAATAGACCAATCCATTTCCTTGTAAAGAATCAAACTCTGAGACAATAAGAATATATGTGGTATTTAGCTTTAAGCATTTGTTTTAAACTGTTAGTTTAACTTGCTTCTTCCTGAGTATTTAATAGACTTAGTTATTTCTTAAATTGCCCTTACTTCCTTGCACTGTTCTTTATGTTGCTTCATTTTCTTAACTGCTAAGTGAGGGTAATATTATACCCTAAGCCACTGCAGAACAGATTTTCCAATGTACAGTTACAGAATCCCCACAGAAGCCTATAAAATGTTCCTACTGTATTTATGGGACTTCCTCCAGGCCTGCTGCTTTATGGTAGTTCTTTATATTAGAAAACTCTGATTCATGGATACCAAAACCCAACAAACAGCAATAAGAATCATTCAAGTTTATAAGTAATAAATACAATTACAATAGAACTTAAGCATAGAAACAAATAACTAACAAATAAAATAATTAGGTATTTAACAACTACCACCATCACTCAAAGAAAAAAAAATGGCTCATACTGTTTGACCTATAAATGATACTTCTGGGAATTTATTGTAACAAAGTAACTCAAAAGAAGAGAGAAGTTCTGTATAGAGAAGTATCTGTACAATGAAATTCACTGAATACTAAATATAGTAGCAAAAAATTGGAAACCTCAGTGATAGGGTAATGAAAAAATTATGGTAACTCAAAGGAATGTTATGCAGACATTTAAAATGATAAATATGAAGGTTATGTAACAATGTGGAAAAGTGTTTACAAAATAAGATGAAGTTAAAATAGCAGATTCCAAAATTATATGTGTATTATAATCACGGCTATATAAAGTTATATACATGTTGAATAAAATAAAAATAATTATGTTAAAATAGTAGAATTGAGAGGCACCACTTTTAAAATTTCCTTAATATTATAAAACATCACTACAGATTAGTTTTGAAAAACTACATGAAAACAGTACTATATGTTTAAGACACATAACAATGGTCATTAAAAAGTTTACATCCTCCTCCTTGGGGGGAAACCCAGGAATGCTTATACAGAGGGTGCCAAAAAAATGATACACTTTTTAAAAAAGGAAAAATAGTATTAAAATTACACTTATGGTAACCACTTTGACCACCTCTCGTACTTGCAGAAGTCAAACGTGACTTGTATTCATCTTCTGATATCGGTATATATTGAGTATTACAATTTTAATACAGTTTTTTTCCTTTCTTAAAATGTGTATACATTTTTTTGGCACCCTCTGTATTAGAAAGGAAAGTATGTTTTCTTGAAGAAAAAAACGTAAAAAAAGAGAACTGAACAGAAAAATACAAAACATACTGAATATTTTTTTGAAAACTTGAATTTGAGAAAAAGACATCTCAAAAATAAAAGAAGATTTTTGAGTAAGAACTTTTCACAAAATGGCTGGTAGAGATAGTCTTATAATTTTGTGGTAGTCATTAAGTCCTATGACCTCAGTTCATACTCTTCTATGTGTGTGTGTGTGTGTGTGTGTATTCCTTTATATGTATGGTATAACTGAATGATGATTCCTTGCTTTAGCTCTAAGTTGATGGCTATAACAGTCTAAATACCTGTGCATTTGACTTGCTTTGGAAAAGTTAAAACACACAAGCGCGCACACACCTTAGCTGTTTACCTGGAGTATGAACATTTTGAGGATCCTACCTATAGAAAATTCTGCTGTATGCAGTACCACTTCCTATTATAACTAAAAATCAGATATAAACCAAAGCACCCAGTGTGAGCTATGGGGACAGAATGTTTCTCTGTCTTTGTTATTTGCTATGTATGTAAAAGTCTCATTATAAAATAAAATTTAAGGATGACTTTAACAAATGTATCAGGTGATTAGTGAATTAAAAATAAAACATTTTTAGGTTAAAGGAAGAAATGGAGGTTATTAGTTTCAGCTTAAAACTATTTCAATAATCTGTAATTCCATAACAAAGTCTTATTTATTACATAGTTACAATAACAGAACATTTTTAAGAGAAAAAGTCTTAGCAGTCATTTAAATATCCTAATAAATTGTTAAATTTTTCAAGTCATCTTCCTGTATTTGCGTATACACAGACACACACACACATTTTTTTCTATATGGCTACAAAATCTTCATAATTATGACAAAACTACTTTGATTTTGGTCCAGACAGAGTACCTGGTAACAAGCTTACCCTCCTACCATAAACAATTATAAGACTGGATAAATAATATAAAGCAACTGTTTTTAGTCACTGGACTACATTGCAGACAGCGTAGGACTGTGATCCTTAAGAGAAGAGAAACACAACAGGTCAATCTCCACACTCACCCTGGCTTCCTGTGTGGGGACACATTCTAGATTGTGGTGCACCAGCAGAGACATATTCACTAGCAGAGAATACCAAATATAATTACACAAAGAGAGTGACCGCCTCACTGAGTGGCAGTTTTGTGAGTCGAGAAGGTGGTGAGTCTTTGAACAGCACAATATTGAATAAGAGGGAGCTGGACAGAGGGGAAGGCCCCTGAAGTCTGCAAGACAGTTCCCCTAGGGCTGTTCACCTGCAGAACAGACTCCCCTGGACCTAGCAGAGAGGATTCTGGGGGTGATGGTAGGAAAAAGAGAACTGTCTGGACCTAAGCAGTGTAGTGCTAGGAGATATTAGAGTTCTGACTAAAGCAGAGTGGAGATCTCTCTGAACACCTCAGGTATGCAGCTAAGACCCCAGAAAAGCCATGCCATAGGACTAAAATATAGTATATTCGAGACAA